GTTAATAACCAAGTATAAATCTAGCTTAAAATAAGATTGAAATTTAATGTTAGAATTATAAAAACTAATTAAAAATAATTATTTTTACTCGATCTTATATGGGGTAGGGCTACCATTCGCACCTGGCACCTACTGGAAAGCCAACAAATTGTATAATTTATTGTAAAGTTGTTTGACACGTCATTAATATTAAAGTTATCCACGTACCATACGTGTAATTACGCTTTTGGAAATAAATCTTAAAAGTTTCAGTAGCTCCATAAAATCCTTATGGGGGATGTCTTCGTTTTCTGACCTATAGGTTATACAATTTTAAAACAAAAATATCTGCGACAATAGTTTTCCAAAGTATTTGGAATGTTCTATCTTTGAAATATAATCGAAATAACGCAGATGCAAAACAAGACAGCCAGCAATGAAGATCAAATAGGGGCCAGGGTTTGGTTGGAGTACTAGAACTCATAATACCCCAAAACGTAATATCACCCATTTTATGCAAGAGGTTGTGGACATGGTGGTTACCCTAAAACCTTTATAATCTCTATATACAACGACGAAATGTGTATTTGTTTGCACCCTAACTCTTCCGAGCCTATTTGTATGCAAACATTATGAACTATGGGGAATGTCCTATTTCTATTTTGTAAAGCCTGTTGGTTCATTTCTCAATCTCAAACAATTTTTGCAGGCTGACGCTTTATACAATGTTGAATATTCTAAAGGGATTCAAAGTCAGAGTATAAAAGTTGCTGGATTGTTTCCCAAGAAACTATATTTTTCTTATGGCCAGTTGAGATGTAGGATGTTCAAGGGTGAGATTATCTCAAAATATTTATTAGTTGGTAGATGGAAAGCAAACTGCAAATGTTGTTTATGAAAAAGCTTTGTTATAATTTTAAAATTTTGAGATAAAGTTTATGTTCAAGTTATTACTTTGAAATATATGATTGCTGTTAAACTTACATTGTTTTAATAAAGTTTAAACATTCCCCGTCAGTTTCTTATATTGTGTAATATAAGAGGATGCTATCAAAGTAAAAATAATCATTAATGATAATAACACCCATAATTTCTAAATTAGTAAAAACACCCAATTTTCACCCATAGACTATTATTACAACATAATAGTAAAAACCATAAAACCTTGTCCAAATAGTTCAGCTCAAATTATATACCCACTTTAAGTATAAGGCGGGAAAGTTGAGGTGAACTCCGTTTCATGAAGCTAGTCTTTCCAGGCCCAGAAAACGGAACGTGTCCCAAGTTAGATGATAAAAATCAGTTGGGAAATAACTATTCCTTTTAACAAAATATATGGAACCAAACTGTAGAGGAGAGTAAATAAAAGGTTGGAAAATGAAATTCTCGTCTTTTGTCCAAAATGGTTAATTATGTCCTTCTTTCCGGAAAAATAATATCTAAGCCTAAATAATGTGCACTATAATTAGTATTATTATTTCATTATAATTGAATACATTTCAGGGAAATCAAAATTTAAATTGTTAATAGAAATTAAATCATCAATATAACAATGGAATTTGACCTACGTATTGTTAACTGTTTCAAAAATATATTTTCATAGAAGTTTGTTTGTTTGTTGAATTTAGAAGTGATAGACCAGAGAGAAGGCAGCTAGTCAACACACCCACCGCCAACTCTTGGACTACTCTTTACTAACGAAAAGTGGGATTGATCGTCACATTATTACATCCCCATGGCTGAAAGGGTGAGCATGTTCGGTGATGAGATTCGAACCCACTGTTCGCAGATTACAAGTCGAGTACTCTAACAGCCAGGTCAGATTAAGCCTGTTCATAAAATTAAACATCCAATTTGTTATTGAATTATTTAAATGGTATTTTATAGTTCTTGGTATAATTTTGTAATAATAGTCTATAAATGGAAGTTGGACGTTTTACTAATGTAGAAATAGGAGTATTTTTTATTAACAATTAATTCTAACTTACCTTCACAAATAACATCCATTTGATCTTCCTTGCAGTTCTTTCGCATTGCAGCTGCATTATTTGGATTATGCTTGATTGGCTGGATATTTCCAACGCTTTTGAGTTGTCTTTTTTTTTTTTTTAGTACAAAGCTACGCAATGATGTACCTGCGCTTTTCCCACCGCGGGGAATCAAACCCCAAATTTTAAAATTGTCGCTCTTGAAGCTTACTGTTGATCCACTGGATGACGCATTTGTTTGTATTAGTACAAAGCCATGCAATTAGCTATCTGCGCTCTAGCCACCACAGGAAATCGAACTCCGGATTTTAGCGTTGCAAGTCCGTACATTTCCGCTGACAAACCCTGAGACACAATTTGGAAGCTATTATTACAAATATTTTCATTTTACAATTATATATGGCCCGGCATGGCCAGGTGGTTAGGGCTCTCGACTCACAATCTGTGGGTCGCGGGTTCGAATCGCCCTCACACCAAACATACTCGCCCTTTCAGCCGTGGGAGCGTTATAATGTGACAGTCAATCCAACTATTCGTTGATAAAAGAGTAGCCCAAGAGTTGGCGGTGGGTGGTGATGACTAGCTGCCTTCCCTCTAGTCTTACACTGCTAAATTAGAGACGGCTAGCGCAGATAGTCCTCATGTAGATTTGCACGCAATCCATAATAAACAAACAAATAATGATATATCTTGTACTTCTTTAACAACTATTATGATTTCTGTTGTTGTTTTGTTGGCATTATTGTTTTTACATAATTTGATATTGCCTTTAAAACAAAATATATATATAAGAAAAAATTATTTGTCTCATATATTTTGAATAATTATTATCAAATTCCGAACAAAATAAAAAACTTGATAAGATAATAGAAATATAACTGTGAAGAGATTGCTGGAGTTGATGTAAAGTTATCTCCAATTCTGAAGTACTGAATAAACCGAGAGCAGCGAGCCAGTACCATCAGCCGCTGCCACTACTCTTTACAATGATTAACGTGATTGTCTGTCCCTTGACTGTCCCTTGTATCATACTAAGATTGCGGAGCGTGTTCAGCGGAACCATGGACCTTTCGATCCGAAACCCGTCACCCTAACTACCAGACCACGCTTCGCTCTCTAAGTTATTGTGGTATTTTCAGGTTGGACTGATTTCCCTTAGAGCGACAAAAGGAGACAATCAAGACAATTATCACGAAGTAATTCTGTGTTCTCTAAGTAATCTTTAGTTAATACACAAACACAGTGTATTTCCGTCGCCTTTCACTGTAGAGCTATATCCAAAACTGTATCTCTTTCAAGGCTGGTTCCAGACTGAGTATACATCATTTGCTTAGCAAAATCAGTAAGGCAATACACAGAGCAAATCGCGTTTTCCAAGTGCTGGTCATTCGTACTGAAACATAAGTAGCCTTTCTTTATCATTCTACAAGGATCCTATCCCCATCCTTTTATACCATAACACACATAATCAACAGATACTACGCCTTCGTTTATATTCTACAAGGATCCTACTCCCACTCTTTACTACACTAACACACATATACGATACAGACTACTACGTCCGTTACTTATCAT